TGAGAAAAAGATTATACGGCAAATTGAGGTCAGCAGGAAGCCAGATTGAATGAAGAGTGACAACAGTAGAGTTAAAGATCAAGATAGGTGCATTCAGGGTAAGAGAGGACGTTGGGCTAGAGGAGATCAGGAGATGTGTTGAAAGATTTTTTTTGCATCAGTTTGGATTGTGATTTAATTTTAGATCCCATCATTTTGTTTCAGAAACCTCTGTCTGTAGATCACAGAACACGTATACCATTTGGTCCATTACGTCCATGCTGGTTTCACTCCCTACTGGAGCACTCCATTCTAATCCCATCATCCAATTGATGGAAACTCCGACCTTGCAACACATCCACCCCACCCCCGTACTGTGCCGGAATGCCAGCCTGGACTGCGGGCTCAAAGTCACAATGTGGGGCTTGAATTTCATGGCCGAGTACAAACATTGATGATATTTGCTTTGAGGCTTCCAACCAGAGAGCAAGAATTTCCAACACAGGATGTCATTCAACTCACAAAGCCTTGCTATTTCCTTGAAAGCCACATTCAAGGAACTCAGCAATGTAGCTCAATGAATATCAATTCTGTAAAATATCAAAAGACAATTGGAAAATAGAGGAAAGAGCAGTGAAATTAGTTTTAGCTTCAGTGGAGGAGCTAGCACCAGTCTAGACTTGATGAGCTGGACTGAAAATATATTGGGTTATTTCTTATAGAATTCATTAATTCCCATTAATCCAAGGAAACTCCGCTTTAAAAATAGATCAGATTGGGGTACTGTACTAACACAATGTATTTCTGGATACCAGAAAGGAGTCCATTTGCACAACAGATTCCATGTTAAGGATTCCCATTAATAACAATAATAATCTTTACATTTGATACAGCACCTTCCTTTCACATCAGGGCAGATGCACTGTAAAGTGTAGTGACTTTTGTGGGCAAATGTGGCAGCCAATTTGCTCACAGCTATGTCTGACAAACAACCATGAAACGAATGACCATTCAGAAATACCACAAATCAGAGAGCCCCGGAACACAAACAACATGTCCCTCCTCAAACAGAATTGCTGATGATTGAGATGAGACAAAATCTCTCAATCGGGTCTAATTTGCATAGTTTTAATGGAGCACATTCCAGCTTGCGTGAGTCAGAAATGCTGGGAATTCGCCATTTATAAATACATTTGTGAATCTCGAACTGAACCATCTAAACTGGGAAACCAGTCACTGAAAACCATCTTACCAACTCAAATCTTATTATTATCTCTGCCCTTCAACTTATTGCTCTTACAAGCACTCCAGGACACTACCCCGCATGAAGACGCTGTATTAAATGCAAGTTGTTGTAATACTGCAAGAAACCAGAAGCAGTAAATACAGCGATCTCTGCAACAGACAGTGCATCCCTCCATCCCTCCCACAAGCCATTCTCCATGTTTATAGATAAGGCTTGACCATGAGTTGGGAGCATTGATCTGATATTGAGGCATTCTACCAGGCTCCACTCCACTGATATTTTGCATGTCGATATCCCACACCCCTCATCGTAACACATTGATATACCACACTGCAACATACTACATCTCTCGAGTAACATGTTCATATACCACCCTGACATATACCACATCCCTCACTGTACAACAGGCGGGGCACAGTTACCACAGTTGACAGTGACATAGTGGATCCAGCAGAAGAAAAGTAAACAGAAGACAATCTTAAGACACTTCACTCTGAAGCAAGGGTGGGGGGAGGAATAACAATAATAAACCTTACATTCGATATAGTGCCTTATAACATCGAGACATCTCAAAGCACTTACAGGATATACTGTGAAGTGAAGTGACTGTGTGTTTGGTGGGCGATATGCAGCAGTCAGTTGCGCACAGCCACGGAGTGAGTGGTCAATTTTTATTGGGGGGTGGGGGGGGGGATACCGGGAGGAACTCCTTTCCCTTTTCGAATAGTGTCAGGAGAGATTTTTAACGTCCACCTGAACATTTTGACAGGATCTTGGTTTAACGTCACATTTGAGGGACGGCCCCCCCTCAGCAATCCACTGCAGTGTCAACTTAGACTACATGATTCCAAGTCCCGATGTGGGGCTTGAACCCACAACCTTCCGACTGGAGAGAGGTGAGAGCGCTAACCACTGACCCAAATGATACGAGTAATTTCAAGTCACTGATGCGCTTCTGGAATCACCTTGAACAATCTCTGATCCCCACAGTCATCATAAATAACCGTTGCATTTGAGGAGAGCGCAACATCGGGTCATTGAGACGCCTCAAAGCGCTTCACGGGATACACTGTAACGTGTAGTGAACTGCGTTTTCTGGGAGAAACTGTACCGCGTATGTTGAAGAATATCGCCTCTGACAGACCGTCACATTCCGGCTTCTTTTCCTAAATAAATACACGCTCCGCAAGGAGCAACCGACCTTCCAGCTCCCTATCTTACCGAGCCTACCTCTCTCTCTTTCTCTGCTCCTGAAATGAACACACGGGGGAAAAAAAGCAATACCCCCCCCCTTTCTCTCTCTCTCTCCCCCCCCCCCGCCACCCCCAACCCAACCCCACAACCCCAACCCAACCCCACAATAAAATGAAGGCACTGAGCCCGAGGGTGAAACGTAGCCAGAATCTTTTTCCATATGGGAGACATCGCTCACTCCCCCCCAACCCAACCTTCCCACACACTTTTTTTGTCATTCATACTTCCAATGTTTTTTTTTCTCTTTTCTACTATTATTTTTTTTGGGGGGGGGGGGGGGGGAGGAAATCACTCAGTTAAAGCCCAAACTGCCTCAGGGTCAGATGTCGCTTGACCAACTCTGGCTTATTACTCAGCCCCATCGGCACAATGGGTCTCTCTCTCTCTCTCTATTTCTATCTCAAATAAATAGCAATAGTATTAAAGATATACTTTATACCACATTGTTAACTGACTGAATTAAATTGGTAACTTTCTCCAATCTGAATGCACTTTTTTTTTTGCAAGTTTTTTTTGAACGATCATAAAAGGGGAATCTTCTACCTCCCCCTCCCTCTCTCTCTCTCCCCCCCTCTCTCTCTCTCCATCTCTCCCCTTCCCCCCCTCAGGAGTGGATAGCGAATGCTTGTGGAGAGACTTTACCTCCATCCCTTATCAGTCCGATAGCCTTAAGCGGAGCGCATTTATATGTAAATAATTCAGACCCCGAGAGTGATGAAACACCCCATTCCGGTGCCTCTCAAAGGGCATGAAATCAACTCGGAATTAACATTAATAAATATAATGCAGAGGTAATCTCACGCGTAAAAATCCAGACGGGATAGTTCCACGTACCCTCCTCCTCCCCAACCCCCTGGAAAAAAAAATCAGCAGTGTTCCCGAGTTCACAAAACATCCCAGTGTTTCCCCTTAATTTTCCATAACCATCGATCCAACGCGTTGGTTTGTTGTTTTTTCTTTAATTGGAAAGAAACTCTTATATTTTTCTTAAAAGAAAAAACACAAAATCATTGGAAAAGATCTTCTCGTTTAAAAGCAGAGCGTCGGTGGGAGGGGGTGGGGGTGTGGGGGTGGTGGGGGGGAGCGCTGAGCATCATCTCGAACGGTTTGATAATGTTGAAGTGATGAATTACAGCCCTCCCCCACTCCCCCCCCAAAAAAAATCGGATTTGACCGTGTAAACTGTCGAGAGTTTCCACGCGGTTCGTGTGTCCCAACAATTTTTTTTCCCAGAATATCCATGAGATCAGCGAGTTTGCAATTCCCAGATCCACCGATAAATTCGGAGTTGTGGGCTTTAAAACAGAGGCGCCCGTGTTATTGTAGTGAGTAAATACTGTTACCATTGACCTGGTCGTTAGTGCAGATTTTTGTAAATTGCTCAAAAAGAGGAGAATGTAACCGGATCGGAAGCTGTTCCCCCCCCTCCACACACCCCACCCCCACACCCCACACCCCAAAAAACACACACACAGAAGTTGCTCAATTCGACATCCACAACCCGCCCTCGTGTTCACTCCCCATCAACACGATCCCACGAAACATTTCCCGCACGTAGAAGAACACGAGGAAAACCCCAAGGAAACGGATGGTGATTTCACACAAATACTACTACTACTACTAATAATAATAATAATAATAAGCGTTACAATGCAAAACCCAACACCCTCCCCTTCCCTCCCCCCAAAAAAATATAGCCTGGGTTACCCACGTTAACTCTTTCTGACCGGACCCTCCCCCCACCACCAAGAAAATGAACTGAAAACCCTTCTCAGTTCCTCCCTCCCTCTCTCTCTCTCTCTCTAAACACCCCCGGGGGTTAATATCTTTTCCCCCCATCAATCTTGCGCCCAAAGCAAAAAATCTGTGAATGCCGATTAATTGTCAATGTCCTTATCGATACTCCAATCTCTCTCGCGGTTCCTCTTTCTGTGGCTTTTACCTTCTTCCTCCCCACATCCCCCCCCCCCCCCCCCCCCACACAGGTGAAACACGCCAACGATCGGCAGCTGTAAAGATTTATTTCATTAAACACATCGCTTGGCGTTTCGATAAAATAAAATAACCCATCCGGTAAGTTTCGATTGATGACCGACAGTTACTACAGTGAGTGGAAAGATGGGTTTGGAGCGGAGTGGGGGGGGTCGGGATTGGGGGGTGGGGGGGGGGGTGATGGTGAGGGGGGGGGTGATGGTGGGGGGGGGATGATGGTGGGGGAATGATGGTGGGGGGGTGATGGTGGTGCGGTGGTGGGGGGGTGATGGTGGGGGGGGGGGGGGGGGGGTGATGGTGGGGGAATGTGGGGGGGTGATGGTGGGGGGGGGGGTGGGGGATGAGGGGGGGTGATGGTGGGTGAGGGGGGGGGGTGATGTGGGGGGGTGATGGTGGGGGGGGGGGTGATGGTGGGGGGGGGGGGGGTGATGGTGGGTGAATCGTACGGTACAACCACACCGAGAAATCCCCGGGGCATCATCCCCAGCAAACACAGCCTCCCTCCCGGCGAGAGGCCGGGGAGCCTTACCTGGTGCACAAACACGTCGACAGGCGGCTCCAGGGAAGCCCCCTCCCGGCTGGTCATCGCCAGGAAGCCGAAGCCCATCCGCACGTTGAACCATTTGCAGTGACCGACCCCGCAAGAGACGGCCGATTGCGGGCTATCCCCGGGCTCCTGGTCCCCGCACTTCCCCGCACCCGCTACACACCGGAGAGAGAGAGAGAGAGAGAGAGGGAGAGAGAAAGATTTTTTAAAAAAACAACAGCAATAAAAACCGTATTAAAAATACATAACCATCGCATCGCGACAACAGCCCCTAAAAAAAAAATCGCAATTCTAAATCCGCAAAACTTTTCCGCCAACTTAAGCAAAGGCGGAGAAACACTCCCGATGTTAACGGAGAATCGATGTGTGTGTTGTGTGTTGTGTGTGTGGGACACAACCTTCAAATTGCTGAGTAGATACTGATCCCATTTCGGTGTTGGGAACCCACCACCACCGCTTCCTCTGACTGAGCGCCTTTCGCTTCTTTTTTCCTGTTGTTGTTGTGTGTGTGTGTGGGTGTGTGGGGGGGTGGGGTTTGTGTGTGAGAGGGGGAGGATGTGTGTGTGGGGGGGGGTGTGCAAAAAAAAAAAAATGCTCCCCCTGTTTAGAATTGCAAAATCCTCCTATGTAAAACCTGCAAACTTGCTGCTGGTCCCCTGAGCCGCTTAAAATAAAAGGGAGAGAGGGGGAGGGACACATCAAATCCTAACACCACAACCTCCCCCCCCTTCAGAAAGGAGGTGGGTTGGTTCCCGTGCTAAAGAATGGAAATTTTAAAACAATGAGTGGTCCCCAGCTCTCCCCCCCCCCCACCACCACCACCCCTCTCTCTCTCTCTCTCTCTCTCACTCCCTCCCCCCCATACACACACACACACACACACACACATAAAAGGAACAATTCAAAGGGAAAAGAAGAGGACATTCCTCTCTCTCTCTCTCTCTCTCTCTCTTCCCCCCCCACCCAAAAAAAAACCTTCGGCCATCTTGCTATGAAGTGTTAATCTTGGGATGAGTTGCTGTGAGAGGTTGTTTGCACACTCCCGCCTTTGCAAGTTTCATATGTATGTTAGTTTTAGGATATCTTCCTCCTCCCCCCCCCCACTCCCCCAGGTCTGTATCTCTTTACTACACTCGATTCCTAATTAACCTCATCGGATCAATAATTCCTACAACCAGACAACACTTCTCTCTCTCTTTCCCCCCCCCCCCCCCACAATTACCCATCGAAATGCTGATTTTAAGAAGAAAACGAATCAATTTGAAAAATACACCTTTAATCTGAAACGATTGTGCATTTCGCAACGTGCAGCGTTAACAACAACGCAGAGACGAGTCAATAACATCATTAAAGGCTGTTACTGCGATGTGAAGTGTTCTTTTCCCCCCAACACAGTGAAACTGAAACGTTGAAAAGCAAACACTTTTCATAAACGGTGCTGTGAAATATTGCGGGTGGAGTGTGTACCCAACACGCACGTACACACACACACACCCACACCCACTCCATTGCTCCAGTTACCCCTCCCGCCAACAAGCACTTGAGTAAAATTAAGCCAGAAAAGAGAGACGATCGTTTTAATTGCCCAGAGATTGACCACAGGAATCAGTGCGAGAGATACTGTGTGTTAACCGCTCAGTGTAATCTGAAATTTATTCTCACTGCTCTGATCATCATTACAAATGCGTCGCATGTGTGTGTGTGTGTGGCTGTAATATGGACCAGTTCCTTACAATGTCCCTGTTAAAACATTCTTGCTGATAATCCTACATACCAACCCCCTGATTCCAGCCAATTGCTATGGGAAGCCACCTGTCCGGGGAATAATGGATGGGGGAGTTAGAGAAGGAGGGAGGGAGGGAAAAGCTTCTCAAATGGTTAATTTGCCCGCAACGTGGTCAACTGGTCAGCCAGCTCTGGCTGGACACTGGCAATTATGGCTTCCATCCCCTTCCCTTTATTTCCAACAGCAGTTCTCTCTCTCTCTCTCTCAGTCGCCAAAGTTTCTCTCACCCGAAAAGACTTTTTTTTTTGGAAAAAAAACTCCCAAATTCAGCGACTGAAACTGCAACGAAATTGTGATTTTTGTTTCAGTGAAACGTTAATTTCTCTCCTCAAACTAAATCCACACACGTGTGAGTGTGTGTCCGTAGCCTTTAATGCACTTACCTTCAAATTTAAAAAAAATCATACATGGACATAAAGCTATTTTTTTTATTGATTCTTGTGCGTAAATTGTTTCTAACCTGTGGTCAATGTGGGTGAGGACTACTGAGGTGTTGTGTTGTGGGTGAGATTTTTTTTTAAAACATGAAATAAATATCTGAACAATTTCTAACAACAAAATATTTGAAGGGTGAATATATTTTTTTAAAAAAACCAACACGACCCTTTGCCGGAGATAAATCACGGATGTAAAAGGTGTGGGGGTGGGGGGTGGGGGGGGAGAAACGTGCGAGAGGATTTGACTTGAATCAAACGCGTTGTGTTATTATAATACTATTATTAATAATCCTTATGTTTGATAGAGCGCCTTTTCACGTCGTGGAGGCGTCTCAAAACGCTTCACAGAATATACTGTCAAGTGGATTGACCGTATTTTGTGGGCGCGTTTTTTTTTACATTTAGATTTATTTGGTATTATATTTTGCTTTGCGGGTCAGTGTCTCAACGTGAGATGCTGGGAGTTTGGGAAACACATTTTGCAATCGGGTTTGGGGGTTACCAGGGATTGCGACTCTCTCTCTCTCTCCCTCTTCCTTACACACATTCACTGTTTCATTCGGAATATTTTAAAGCAAATAAATCCCGGGGGGGAAGAGGGTACTCATTATCATTAGAAATTCTGTTCTTATTTTGAGCAAAAAAATAAAGAGTAGCATATAAAATACGCTTTAAAATGCGAATAAGGGGGATGGGGATGGGGGGGGGGGGACGGGGAGGGGATCGTGTTGTTTGCAAACTGTCACCAATTGCAATGGAGCAACGCGATTTTTTATTTATAAACCCCCAAAAAATCGATGAATAAAACCAAACGATCGAATAATGATAATCAGAGAGCCTCATCGATGTTGCCTTTGTATATATATATATATATATAGTGCAGTATCGATTCTCAGCGTGGTATCAATTCAGATGGACATTAGTTGGGAAGGACTCCCCTTTTCCTGGCCTTTGCCTCTCTCCCCGGGAATGGGGGGGATGGGGGGAGAAGGGGGTAAAGGTGCGGAGGGAGGGAGATGTGTGCAGGTCAGAGCTTCCCAGTTCCTTCATTTCCTGTGGGAGCCACTGCTGGACAATGCCAGGAATTCGGATTGTGCTTCGAGGGGATGGACGAACCATTCTCAACACCAGTGTCCACAAGAACAAGCGCCGCATTCTCTTCCGATTTAATTACAAACAGAGCAGGAAAGAGATGGGCTCCACCAGCCCCCATCCCACCCCAATAAAAGGAGGAGCAGAGAAAGGCAGGAGAGAGAGAGAGAGAGAGGGAGAGAGAGAGAGAGAGAGAGAGAGAAATAAGAGAAAACACAGAATGAATAAAATGCTGCAAAGTTAAACAACGTTGGAGAGGAGAAACCACCAAATAAACCGATTTCATTCAATGGCAAACAGTTCAATTAAAATATCGCGTTCAGATCTTTGAACGGTTCAATTCAAATAATATATAAAGACCTTTAAGAGTTAAACTGGTAAGGTTGGTCCGCAGTGAGTCGGTTAATTTTTTTTACACAAATAAAGGAGATTAAATTACTGTTAAATCTTTCTCGTTGGGGTGTCGTTTTTGTGGGGAAAAAAAATATATTTTTTAAAATACTAACGAATTGTCGCATTATTGTCAGGCGAATGTGAGAGGGGGAGGTGGTAGCGCCTCCTGTCGTGCGGTGAGGGTAAGAGTGAGTGAGGGTAAGAGTGAGTGAGGGTAAGAGTGAGTGAGGGTTGAGTTGCTGGTGAGTGGGGAGAAACCAGAGATTCTTTTCATTCACAAATGTACAGAGATCCCGCGCTCTCCGCATCTCCGCTCTGGGTATCTCTGTGTGTGTGAGAAAGAGGGAGAGATTTCTTTGTGAGATTATATAAGGGGCCGCTCTCCCCTCCGATGGTTCCAACGTTAAGTCCCTCTTACAGCCCAGGCGTTCTCAATGCTTCGTGTGATTAAGCCATGAGTCAGGCGTCCAACAGCCCTAAATGATAATCCCTCCAAAACCAAAAACAATAATAAATTGGTCATTTTCAATCCACGACTGTTTGTGGGACATTGCTGTGTGCAATTGGCTGCCGCGTTCGCCCACAAATATACAGTCAATTCACTTTACAGTGTGTTCTGTGAAGCGCTTTGGGACGTCCTCCCGACGTGAAAAGCGCTATATCAAATGCAAGGATTATTATTATTATTATTAAGAGGACAATCCGAAAACTAACACAGAAAGCGTCCGTTTCCAGGCTATCTCCCTCCCATCCTCCTGTTTCCTTATCTAATAACTCGTCTGTGTGAAATCGTTATTACAATCCGCCCTCCGTTTATCTAAGGAACCTTTTGACACTGCACTTTTACCAAGATTGAAAAAATCACAGATAACGCTTATTATTACAATGGAGGCATTTCTTTTGTTCTCCTGCTCGCCCCACATACTTTCCCTCTTTCTCTCCTTCCCCTGTCTCCCTCTCTCAATCTCTCTCTCGTTCTTTTTTTTATTTCTCCTCTCTTCACATTCTGAATCACCCACGTTCATGACAAACCACATCAAACTTTGCCAACGAGTCGTACAGGTGTCTCTAATCTGCTTATTACAATCACAGCTTTCCTGGCTACTTCCTCCTGTCGCGTTTCTTTACTGTATTTTATTGGCACCAAGTTACTGCCCCCCATGTCCGGGTGACAAGTGGGAAATGGAAAGGTCAGATTGGAGCCTGTCAGGTCCCAGTGTTGGGCAGAGTAGTTTTTTCAGCTGTACCATCCATACCTGATCTATGGATTGGCTGGACTGACACTGGACTGCGACATATAACATTTGCATACAAAATGTCTTCCACGTTAGGAGTACGTCCAAGGTGCTGGACAGTCAGGGATTTGGACCCGAGCTGGGGGTTGGGATCAGGAGGGGTGAACGGCAGTGAGGGCAGGGGTAGGAGGGTGACCGAAGGAGAGTCTTGAGACATGCCTTGAAGCAAATGTGGAGTTCCAAAGAGTGGGGGCAGTGGAGAGTGGAGAGATCTTCCATTTCTCAGCACTGAGCACCTTGATAAGCAACACGAAAAACAGGAAATACAAATTTTTTTCTCACTAAAATATCATTTGGATCCCAGCCCTGTCGGATCCCTGAATAATGCTCTTTAAAAAGAGCCAGCACAAATAGGATGGGCCAAATGGCCACCCTCTACATTTTAATGTCTGTGGTTCTAATGCTTCATTCAGCCAGACAGGTGTCAGCCTGGCTCAGTTGATAGCACTCTCGTCTCTGAGTCAGAAGTTTTTGGGTTCAAGCTCCCATGTTGAGACATTGAGCTTCCAAAGCCTGGCACTCAGTATAGTGCTGGGGTAATGCTGCATTGTTGGCATCATGGTTTGGACAAGATGTTAACAAATACAATAAATATACAAAGCAGAATAAATCACTTTTCTAGAATCTCACATACCAGAGTGGTATATAATACACAGAATGTAACATTCATATAATAACATTTATCCACATGATGGAGGAAGTGGGTTGGGGTTGGCTTCTATGGGAATTGTCTGGAACTAAGTGGCCATTAATTGTGTGGGAACCTCTGCTTGAGTTAGCAGGTATTGGCGGGGGGGGGGGGGGAGAGAGAGAGAGAAAGTGGACAAAAGATGAAAGTTAAGCCACTTCTTAATGGGGGTTGGGGGGACGATGAGGAGAGAGTCACTGGGTAGTAATCGGGGTAAAAATCTAGGCTGATTTCGAGCACCTCCAGCTCATGGGGCACAGTAGCTAATTATTGCATCTCTTGCTGTCCCAGCTG